CACACACACACACACACACACGCACACACGCACGCAAGCACACGTAGCGTATGTTCACCTTTCTGAAACGGGCATTTGGCTCCCACTGATGTCGCCTGTATTATTTGACAACTTCTTCGACAAAACATTTCCTGCAAGTAAATAATTTGATGATTTTATGTATGAAGCTGCTGAAAAGTTTTATTTTGATGATTTCACTTAATGAATTTCTTTGTGGACCGACTCTCAAGTCCATGTACAAATAACTTGATGGATTTATGGAGCTTCAAAGTATATACTTTGATAATTTCACATAATATCATTTGTGGATCAACTACCAAGTATAATTTGACTGTTTCATACGGAGCTTTTGAAAAGTACGTATTTTGATTAGTTCACAAATACTCCTTGTGGACTGACAAGCAAGAACATAATCTGATGGTTTCATACTCGTATGTTATGGAGCTTCTTGAAAGTGCATTATTCAATGGTTTCATAAGAAGTTCCAGGATCATTTATGCATTAATTGGGCACTTAATTGGCTTTCTCGAAAAAGGTATGTGCTCGTATTCATCGAGAGCAAAATGTATCACCGAATATCTCAGTCCTTTTTCTTGGATGTCACCCTTCAGTACAAGTTGATTGTGGCATATAGGGGCGACGAAGGCTGCTTTCTAAACATCAAAGTTGTGTTAATGGGAGGTAAAAATATTGACTGCAAAACAAGTTATTAAAGTGTTGCCAGGAGAAGTCAGAAAAGATTAATAATGATTGAGCTGAGGTAGACTTAACTCACTGACGACGCACGTTCTGAGCATTCGAAATACTTGAAGGCATGCTGTTTTGGGGTATAACTTCATTATTCAAACATATATTTCGACTATTTTTTACTGTATCTGAAATTGAAAGTGACATGAAGGAACATGCATAATATTACAGAATATGCAAACTCATGTTTCTTATTTGTGTATGGCGGTTGGAAATGTGCCGATACGTTGTCTCAGATCTGCTACGAATCGGACAGTATGTGTCCGCTACGTTCTTAAAGAGTTAATGTTAACTGGTTTTGGAGAAATGAACATCTAGTCGCTTCAGGCTGATGACAGGTTTGACTCATCGTCGAGCCATGTAGTGTCTATTGTTGTTGGTAATTGCTTCGTTTGTTTTATATTTCTCTATTTCAGGTTTGTGCTTCACAGTGTATTTTTTTCGAAACAAAAGGGGAGGGGAAGGGGGTTCCTCTCTATCTCTCTCTCTCTCTC